TGAGCCCTGCCCCTGGTGCTCCCAGGCCTGAGCTGTTTGGTGACTCCCAGGGCCAGCCCAGCTCCCTGCAGCTCCAGCAGCAGCACACCCAGCTGGGTTCTGGGGCATCTGCAGACCAGGAACGCCAGCCCGCACTGCACGGCCCGGGAGCCTCTGGCCAGAGGGAAGGGCAAAGCAGGGAAAGGCTGGCACGGCATCGGGGCTGCTCCAGCTCCCAGGGACCTGAGGCGGGAGCAGCTCCTGCCTCGCTGCTCCATGGCCACGGATTGTCCCGTTCCCTCTGCCAGGAGAGCACCAGCAATGGGCTGGATCCCCCCGGGGAGAGCAGAGCTCAGCGAGCGTGCTCGGAGCAGGCTGGGGTTACTGGAACTGCAGTAAAGTCAAACGCTATCTCCTAAAAGATTGAAAAAATATCTTTAAACAAAATAATGTGGCCTATTTACATAATTCCTTAAGTGCAAACTCTTGTCACAATTAACGCGATTTCGACTCCCTGTACAAGAAGGTGCTCTTTCGTTAATGAAAGAAGGACTCGAACTCTGCATTCCTGATTCAGTGACGTGTCTCTTGTGCAAGGCAGTAAAATTCCTGTTTCTTCCCGAGATTCTTGCGAAGGCGGCCCCCGAAGGCGTTACCGCACCACCAGGCAGGAGACGCAGAGCTTGGAGGGGCCGATGCAGTCGTCGTGGCAGAAGGCGCCGCAGCCCTTGCACATGATCATGGCTTTCAACCTGCAGTAGCATTTGGAAGGGGCATCCTCCACGGCGCCGTCCTCGGCGAACGCCTGCACCGGGAGGCTCTGCCCGTGGCCGCCGGCGCTCGCGGCCTGCCCGGCGGGGATGGCGGTGACGGTCACGGAGAAGGACATGACGTTGCCCATGGAGCTGGCCAGCTGGCTGCACTCGCTGACGAGCGAGCCCCGGCCCACGTCGGGCGAGGTGGAGACGTTGATGGTGCCGCTGTAGCTGGGCCCCAGGAGCTGCGCCCCGGCGCCCCCGGGCAGCTTCGGGGGGTGCGGGGCCGGGAGCAGCGGGGGCTGCGCCGGGTCCGGGGACGGCGCGGGGGGCCCCAAGAGCTCCCTGCCGCCGTGGCCCTTGCCCCTCATGGCGTGGGCCATCTGCTCCTGTGCCGCCTGCAGCAGGTCCCGGGCCAGCGCCGCGCCGTCCAGCGCCGGCGCCTTCTCCTCGGCCGCCGGGGCCGGCTCGGCCTTGGGCCCCAGGGAGCCGGGGCCGGTGCCCCGTGAGCCCTGCTCCTTCTCCCCGTGCTCCTCGTTGACGCCGACGCGCTCCCGTTCATCGCCGGAGCTCTCGTCGGCCGCGTCCTCCTCGCCGCTGCTGCCCTGGCCGAGCTCGGCCCCGGCGCCCTCGGCGGGGCTGCTCAGCCCCACGCGGGGCTCGGGGTTCAGGGAGAAGCCTCTCCTCAAGCTCTCCGAGCCGCGGCCGTACGTGGAGATGTTGAGCAGGTAGTGCCCGGACATGGCAGGCTTGGACGTCCTCCTGCCCGTGAAGCCCAGCATGAATCTCTGGCTGGTGGAGCCGTTTTCCACCGGGAAACCTGAGTGCGGGAGGTTCAGCTGCGAGGGCTGAAGGACGGGCAGCAGGTTCTGCCTCTGCACCCTCTTGATGAGAGTCTGCAGGATCTGCTCCTGGGTGGATTGGCTCAGAGCCTCGTGGCCCTGGTGCTGCTCAGCACCGGGGTCCTTTCCCGAGGGGAGCGGGAAGGTCCTTGGAACGTGAGGCAGAGGCCGGTTCTGGCAGAAGATGTTCCCGAGCTGCTGCGGGGGCAAACCCGACGGCCTGTCCCCCGCCTCGGCGCCGCTCCCCGCCGCACCGGGAGCTGCCGCCCCCTTCTCTTCCTGAGGAGCCACGGGCACAGTTCTCGTTTCTGCTTTGGTCAGCGGCTTGGGCAGGATCTGCTCCAGAGGGACGCTCTTGCCCTGGAGCAGCTGGGTGACCAAAGGGTTGTTGGCAGGAATGCTGGAGCTGGCTCGGGGCAGGGCCCCACCGGGGGCAGGTTTGAGGCTGGGCGCTACGGAGGAGCTGCCAGAGCAGGGGACAGGAGCGCCCACGGCTCCAGCCCGGCCTCCGGGGCCCGTGGGCGGCCAGGGGGACACCAGAGGGGAGGATTTGCCTTCGGGAAGGTCACAGCCGCTCCCTGCCGAGGCTCCCGGGGCTCCGCCGCCGCAGCCGGGCCCGTTCCCGGGGCCCGGAGGCGCCGTCCCTGCCCGGTCCCCGCCGGGGGTGCCCGGGGAGCCGGGGGTGGCCGTGCCCCGCGGGGCGCTCGGCGCGGCCCCCGCGCCGCTCCCTAGCGCCGGGGCAGCCGCGGGGGCCCCTGGCTGTAGTTGTGCTCCAGGAGGATGGCGAGCGGCCCCCGGCTCCGCCTGGCTCCCCAGCTGCGAGCGGGACCCCGCGCCGCGGGGAAGAAACCTTCTCGAACCTCCCCCGCTTCCAGCTCCTGCCAGCTCCAGCGCCTCTGCTCCAGCCGCAGCTTGGGGGGCTCCGCCGGCGTCTCTCCCGTCCGCCCCCCTGCCCGGGGGTCTCCCCCCGCCCGGGCCGGGCCCCGGCACGGCTCCCCCGGCCGAGGCGGCGGCGGCGGCGGCCGCTGCCCTCTGAGCCTTGGCCTGCTGGGCTCTCGCCTTGATGTCGGCCAAGGTCCTGGCCCCTGTCCTGCCCGGACTGCTGAGGGAGAGGGGGAAGCGTGCCCTGGGAGAGACCTGGCCCGCGGGAAATGGCATCGGCGAGATTCTGGACACGGGAATCTGCAAGAGAGCAGGAGAAAAGCACAGCTGAGACACGGGGAGCACCCGACCCACGGCTTCGTGTTCGCAGGTTCCTCTGAGAGAACCGGTGGTGGTCGTGGAGAAATCCCTTTGGAGAAACCCCTCCTATCCCTGCCTCGAGACAAGAGACCCGTCCGAGCCCCGCACGCCTCCCGCGCAGTTTTGGGGTGCTGCAAACGCCGTGGCTCTGAGTGGAGCTCACCCCTCGTGCCACCCCAGAGCCCCCAGGCTCCCTCCCTGAGGGGCTGATCCAGCCCCTGCCCTGTCAGCCCCTGTTCCGCTGTTCAACGTTATTCAGATGTAATTTCAGATCTAATTTTGTATTCAGATGTCCTTTGAAAGATGTCACCGTCCTGCTGGACTCAGCCTTGCTCCTCCCTCCTGCTCACCCATCATTTGTCTCCTCAGTGCCTTTCTACAAAGCCATAATAATCTCCTGAGCCAGAGAAAAAATGACAATAATTTACTCTTTCCTTCTAAAACATTTTCCCCAATGTCCCAGCTGACTTTCCCCATGTTTGCTTCCCCAACATATGTGCCCTGTGCTGAGCCTGGTGATGCTCCCCTGCAGAGATCTCAGGGAGTTCATTTGAGGTTACATTTATTTTCAATATCCATAAAATCCTCACTGGATCCCACTGAGCTCTGATCTAGCATTTCACCATTTTTGGGGGATGACATGTCTTGGGGACATGTCTGTCCCCATTTTGCCCTGCTTTGCAAGGGAAACTATTCACAATTACCTTTGATTTGCTCTGCTGTTAAATTAAATCCCACCTTTGTTGCCCTGGCAGGCCAGCCCTCGCTCCTGCATGGTATTCCAGACCTTTTTTATGAACAGCTTCCCCATGTGAAACTGAGTTTCACTGATGCCTTCCTGCCTTGGTGCCGTTCTTATTAACACGGTGAGAACGATGAGCTGCTTTGAAAGTTTTGAGCTGGCAGCCTTTCAGTACAGAAGGGTGTGAACAGGGGAGCAGAATTCCTGGGACACACAGGAATACAGAATTCCGCTTCTGCCTAAGGGCCCGGAGCAGCGGGGGCTCCCCAAGCCTGGAGAGCTCCTGTCCTGCTGCCTCCCGTGCCCATCCCAGCAGGGGCCAATCCCTCCTTCCTTCCCCAGGTGAGTTCTTGCAAAGGCTCAGCAGCCAAGGGGCCTCTGCTCCTGAGATGGTCCCCAAAATTCTCCTGCC